TATGTATCAAAAAATTTCTGAAAAAATAAAATCAATACTGTTCCTTGGCCCAGCAACAAACAACAGCTCGGTCCACTGCTCTGCGCGCGCTGCCCGCACCCAGGCCGCAACCTAGGCCTGGGCTGGCAAAGCCACGCGGCACGCTTGCCCGCCTGGGCCGCAAGTCGGCCCGATCAACCGGCGCCGTCCGTTCCAATCCGACGGCTGCGCGGTGAAATCGGTCGATCAAAACGGCGACGGGGCGCCCTCCCCCGAAACCCTAACTCCAGCCTCGCTCCCTCCCTTTCCTCTCTGACCGCCGCGACGGAGAGCAGAGAGCGCAGGCAGCAGCCATGGCGGCCGGAGGAAGTGGCGGCACCGCCGCGCGCCCCTTCGCCAATGTGTGCGTCCACCCGAGGGTGAGCGCACCGCCATCGAAGGGCTGCGCTGCGGTGCCCTTTGTCGGAGCTCGCACGGCTCGGCCATCTTCCCGCGCGCCGGCGAGGCGGCAGCGCGGTGAACGACGAGGTAGGCCCCTTCCCCTTTTCCCCTTTCTCCTTTCCTTCATTTGCTTTTGGATTTTCTTCTCGGATTTCATCCGATTGGGGATTAGGGTTAGGGTTAAATCAAGTTAGGGTTAGGGTTTTCTGTTCTTTTCTTGCCGCGCGTCGGCGAGACGGCGGTGCAGCACCTTTCCCCGCGCGGTGACGGTGGTGACCGGCAGTTGAGTGACGCCCGCCACCCCCGGTCTCTTTAATTTTTTTTACCCGGTTAGGGTTAGGGTTCGGTTGAACCATCTCACTGTGTTTTTCGTTCACCCGATCTATATCTAAAAACCCTAGAACCTGACTCTGGTACCATTGTTAAGTTCTCTTATGAACACATAGTCATAGATCTAGCCGGATACATCTTATAAAACGGATAACATGTCCTAGTACGTGAACTAGACAGAGATTAGAGAGAGAAGTAATGCTAGGTTACCGACCATCGTAGGGCTTCGATCCATCGGCGTCGGCCATAGTCGTTGTGCCGGTATCTGCGCGAGGGTAGCGACGGTCGGTGAAGACAGTGACGGTGATGGGCGGTGACGACCGACGGTGAAGACCGATGGCGGCGCAGTGCAGTGGTGGAGGTGCTTTCCGTCACTGGCTGCGCCCCTCACTATATCGGGTTTAGGGTTTGTCGGTGGGGAGCTCGGCTCAAGCGAACCTCGTGACTTGAGCCACCGGCCCCACCTCTATTTATTGCTTGATGTGGTAGAAGCCCTACAGTCATAGTGGGCTGGACGCCCCGATTAGGGACGCGGATCAGAGGCACATATGGACCGTTGGCCCAGTTTGGTACCAGAGATCAACTAACACGCTCGCAGGTCCGGGGCGCCGCCGGCTGAGCTTCTGCCGCCAACGATGCCGATGCTAACGCGGGGCCGCTTCCTTCTGGGTGCCCGAAGCTCCATGGAGTGCTCTGCTCGGATGATCAAACGACGCACAGTAATTAAAAATAATAATAATAATGAAAATCTCCCCAGTTCTATCTACAAAAGAACACCGCAGACTGGGGTTCGATTACAACACGAGAGTACGAGACGGCGACAAGCGATGCTAGATCAGGCGCAAGATTTCTTTCTTTCTTTTTTCTGAACAAACGACAAGTCGACAACAATCAGGCGGAGCAAGGTTTCAAGAGGCCGCGAGCAGGCGTTGCTGATCAAACAAGGGTTGGCGAGAGGGCGGTCGGGGAAGGGGTTTACCGAGCGCCGCAGCCTGAGCCTGCCGGAGTGCCAGAGCCCGGAAGAAGAAGCTGCGGAAAGGCGAAAACCCTCGTCTCCGTCGACGGCGGGAGCGGCGGGATGGGGCCATGGCCATGGGGGAGGAGTAGTGCGCGGAGATATTTTTTTTATCACTATGTATACATATACGTCTACGAATGACGGGATCTATGGGCCTCAATTCATGTTTGGAATACTTCTCATGGGGGCCGGAGACACCCGGGCCTTGGGAGGCCAGCCTGGGGCTTCACATTACCGGGTTTTTTTTTTGCATTTTTATATTTTTATTCGATGTTTGAAAAATATACAAGGGTCCGGGACCAAAAATTGCAAACATATACTACTTCTCAAGCCGTTTCATTTGGCGATTTGTAAAATGAAACACAATATAAAACACAACATACTGGATAAGCTGATGAAAGAAAAAAAACATTAATGAATTGGAGCTGGTGTTTAGTCTTTCAAATTATGTACCTTTGTTAAATCCCCCCCCCAAAAAAAAATAAAAATAAAATCCAAGAGCACGCAATTTCCAAGCCCATTTTGAAGCTTTCATTGTTTTTCTTTTTTAAAAAATAGAAACACTTCCAACAAGAAAAAGTGAAAGAAAACATGCAAATGCAAGTGGACACAGTTCATAGGGGCTTTAAAAGAGATATTTTGAAGAAGCAACCTTAACCTTAAGCAAGAAAGCAGAGTAAATTTCAATGGCAAGATTAACTAAGCAAAGGCTTACATCATTTAGAAATGAGTCAAAAGTATATGCTCGCCACTTATAAAACGCATTTCAAATCGACATGAATGATGAACGATGAGCGAGACAAAAAAAATCTGAACTAACAATAACGCTAATTAAATTTGGCGAGTCTAATGTAATCCTCGAGTATTTGGTACCAGAATTTGAGTGAGATTAAGAGTACTGGGAGGTAGAAAAAGAACAGAGATGAGTTCAGCAAGGAATACCGGCAGATTCAATTAGAATTCGGTCTGATTAGTTCATAATTTCTTGTCCTCTCCCTCAGACGCTAATCTATATATCTCTTGCTACACAACATAAACACGCCACTTTACATGGGCCATTCCCATTCTGGTCCCGAGATGCGCACGCTGGTCATCCTGCGCCGAGTTCCCCGACGAGGCCCAACTCCAGTTGAATGAGGCACCGGATGTTCAGCAGGAGCAGCAGCAGCGTCAGGAACAGCATCAGTTGTACCTTTGAGATTTGGTAGGTGGCGCACAAGCTCGCCAGCAGATCGACAGGCATCACCATCTTTATGTATGATTTCAAGCTCGACGTTCGCATCACGTAGGAAGTCCAGGCCACAGCAGCAACCAGAAGATGAGGTCTTGTCCAGTTTGCGCGTTCCTTCCTTGTCCTCAGAATCACCTGGGAACTGTGGGCAATGAACACAAAAGATGTGAGATCGATAATGCATGAACTATGTTGCATTGGTTGGTTACATAAGGAGCTAGAAAACCAAGCTACAGTGTACCTTGCAGTGCCGCAAAATGACCTTCTCTAGATTAGGTGAACCCCGATGAAAGAATCGCAATATGCGGAAGTCATCACTGAGATCACAGTCGTCCAGCAGCAAGTTCCTCAGGTTCTGGAATTCCAGGAATGTGTGTTCCTTACCGAGCACCTGGAGTACATTGGAAGTAGATAGCAGCACCAACACATTATCAGAGCGACGAATAAAATGGAACACTTGCAGAGAAAACAAAGATGCCAAAGAGCATACCGTTGTCCCGACACCTAACAAATCGAAACTTGTCACATTAGACACACCACAAAGAAGCTTGGATTGATCTCCGCCAAGTTTACTTCCACACATACTTTTGGACAAAAAACTGTATTTGTGACGGCGTAGATGAATCGAAGCCCTGTCAAGGGATGGCATCTCATTTATCGAAATACCTCCACGGAAGCAGACACCATCCACATCTAGGCGTAGATAGGCAACCATGGGGGCTGAGATAGCCAGCAGGTCGCCATACCAATTGGAGCCGCCATCGATAATCAAGGTCTTCAATGTTGGGGATGCAATGTCGGAGAGGAATCCGCCCCATGAGCAACTTTTCAAAACTAAGTTCTGGAGCGAGTCAGAGGCGATCGAACAGATCTCACAGGTGCAATGGTCCAGCTCCAAATCCTCCAAAGAGCAGCACACTGAGCTAAGATGCTCCGCGAAACGATCGTCCAGAGGCACGTGGCAGAGATGCAGCCTTCTGAGGCGCCAAGAACTGGGGCTCAGATTCAATCCCTGACGCTGACAACTGATGGCATGACCTGGTCCTGGTGTGCAGTATTTCATCGCACGTCGGAGCCATGCTGCTGCTTGTCGGCCGCTGTATTCCCAGCCTTGTATTGCACTGTCAGAGCAAACATAGGTCTGAGGTCTGCAGCCCCTATCAATGTCCAGCCTGAATGAATCCAGCAGTGCGATGTTGCAATGGAGCATGAGGTTGACGGTGAAATCCTCAAATTCGTCCCACCCTTTGCCCTTGTCCTGGTTGCTGCCCAAGTCGGAGTCGGAGACGGAGTCATCAGAGCTGCTGTCGCTGCCGCCACTGCTGGAGGCAGGCGCCGCCGCCTTGGTCCTGAACTCAACAATGTCGATGTCGAGGCACGGCACAGAGCGCCAGAGGTGCTTCCAGCGTGTTGACAGCACGCACGTCTGCACCACCTGTCGAGCCTTGAGGGAGGACATGATGACGTGGAGGAGGCAGTCTGGTAGAGCGCTCAGCTGGTCCGGGCCACCGGTGGAGCTTTCGCCACCGCCATCGCTTGCACAGGTCCGTTTCCTTGTGCCCTCTGCAATCTCCATGGAGTACGTGTCCTGCAAAGCTCCATGTATATGTATTTTTATATAAGATGACCAAACGACCAAACAACCCAAATATAAATCTCCAGTTCCATGTATTACCAAAGGACACCTCTGAATCCGGCTCTAACTAACGCAGAAATTGTCTGAACAATAAGAAATTGCGAAAAAAGACTCAAAAATAAGTTTTTTTAAGAAAAAAGTTTGGTTGGGGTACAGTGCAGCAGAATCCCCATTTGCAATTTACTCAAGAACAGACGAAATTCGATCCGATTAAGGGACGGGGTGTGCAGCTAAATCGGGAGATACGGCCATGCCCCCATGCACTTCCGTACAGTATTAGAGATGAACAATCGTATACGAAGATTGCTATTCCTTCACAGCAATCGATTACGGGTGGGTCGTACGGAAAGCGACGGTGAAGGGGCTTACCGAGCGCCAGCGCCATAGCCTCCAGCCTGCCGCGGGAGGAGAGGCCCCAATACAACCGGAAGCGCCGGAGAGAGCGGGAGACGAGAGCTGCCGAAACCCTTGTCTCCGTCGGCGTCGACGGCGAGTCGGCGACGGCAAGTGGGGAAAAGAGGAGGAATGGGGTCGGCGAACTGGGCACACAGCGTGGTACGGTACATGTGCAACGCGACCACGAGAATCGTCTGGGATACATGGGCCCCCGCTGGGAGCTGGAGGCCCATTTCCGCACAGGCAGGGTTTCACGGAGGCCCCTGAATTGGACAGGGCCGTGACGATCTTTTATTATTTTAATAACCTAAAAAAACTAATATTTTAATAATAATAACACAAGACGAATTATTTTTTGGGCACTGCTAGAGCTTGCCCGTGCAGGATTTGGAAGTTCGGCGCGCACACCTCTCGCACGTCAGTTTTTAGTGGCAAAAAAAAAACACACCCACAGCAGCTTTTCTTCCCCGACTCAACAAGACTCGCCTTTGGCCGCTAACGCCCACCACGGCGAACTAGGGTTTTGCCGACTTGAAACCCTAGCTCGCCCACGGTGCCACCTTCATCCCTTCCTCTCCCCGTCACACCGCCGCCACCATGGCGGAGCTCCCCGCCTCGACCTAAGCAGCATGCCGCCGCCACCGGCTCCCCTAAACCCTTTGGCCACCTTCCTCCCCGGTCGGCGCCTTCTATACCCGCCAAAGTTGGGGAAGATAAGGGGAGAGCTCGACGGAACCCTAGAAAGCAGATCTAGGAGGAGGAGGAGAGAGGTGAGAGAGGAGGAGGCCTACCTGGCGCAGATCCGTTGCCACCGCCACCGGATCTGCCGAATCTGTCGCCGCATCTGCCAGATCCGCCGCTGCATCCGCCGGATCCGCCGCCTCATCCTCCATGGGCCGTGGGACGGAGGCGGTGGAGAGCTGCCATGAGGTGGTGCTGCCGGTGAGGTGCTCACCGGAGAGAGAGGAGGGAGGGAGGGAGAGGTGTCTTGGTCTTGGGGCGGAGTAGGGTGTCTCGGGTGGCCAAGGCCCGGGCGTGAGGGTGAAGCCTCATATCTTCTGCGTTGCTTTTTAGCATTTCGATATTTTTCTAGATTATTATTTTTGTCACGTTAGAAAAGACATTACATCGCTTTAAAAAAAAGACATTACATGACAAATGAATCTGAGAGAGCACCTTTCCATTGCGCTTTTAGGATCTATTGGCCTCAAATCAATTCATGTTTGGAATGCCCTGTTGATGGAGTTCTCGTTACAGTTTTTCTTTTCCATTTTTACATTTTTGATGTTTGAAAAATATAGAAGCGTCTAGAAAAAAGCAAACATATACCGTACTACTCAAGCCGTTTCAGTTGGCATTTATAAAAATGTCGTTTCCATGTGACTCTATATAAATACTGCCAATTCCATACATGGTAAGGCAGGGCTCGACTCATTATGGAATAACCCCGACTTTAGGGTGCGATCAATTGGATGAATATCTTTGGATGGGAGAACCATTCAGTAATGCATTTGGATTCTCTCCTAATCTCACAAAGATGATGAATTAATGATGGAGATGAGTAGGAGGGCGTTGGCTAAGCTCACAAGGTTGCTATGTCAATGCAAATGGCCAAGAGAGTGAGCTAGAGCCAGCCATGGGGCTTAAATAGAAGCCCCCACGAAATAGAGCCGTTGTACCCCTTCACTGGGCACAACTCGGGGTGACCGGATGCTCCGGTCAGATCGACCAGACGCAGGACCCCAGCGTCCGGTCGCTCGATGCTTGCAACGTGTCATCGGCTTCAAACGTTGATCATCCGATCTCAACGGTCAAGTGATGACTGGACGCGCTGCTCGAAAGTGACCGAATGCTAGACCTCAGCGTCTGGTCATTTCCAATAAGGTTCCAAACATGAAATTTCACGACCGGATGCGTCCGGTCATGCCCGACTGGACTCACCCAGCGTCCGGTCACTCAACGTCTCCTCTGTGCGGCCACGTCAGCGAGACCGGACGCTCCCAGCCAGCGTCCAGTCATGAAGTGACCCAGCGTTCGGTCGAAGACCGACGCCAGCGTCTTCGCTGCTTCCACTAACCGGACGTAGGACCCAGCGTCCGGTCACTACGTGACCAGCATCCAGTCATGAGACCAAAACGGCACGCCCTCTGCTGCCACTGACCGGACGCGCCGGTCTAACCAAGACCAACGTCCGGTCACTTATAGTGACCTCTGTCTTTCCTGTAAAGAGCGTCGGTGGCACCGTCGGACTATCCGCACTCTACGGGTGAACACTCCACCGGTGTAGTTTCTAACCCTTGCTCAAATGTGCCAACCACCAAGTGTATCACCTTGTGCACATGTGTTAGCATATTTTCACAAATATTTTCAAGGGTGTTAGCACTCCACTAGATCCTAAATGCATATGCAATGAGTTAGAGCATTTAGTGGCACTTTGATAACCGCATTTCGATACGAGTTTCACCCCTCTTAATAGTACGGCTATCGATCCTAAATATGATCACACTCACTAAGTGTCTCGATCACTAAAATAAAATGGCTCCTACAATTTATACCTTTGTCTTGAGCCTTTTGTTTTTCTCTTTCTTCTTTTTAAGTCCAAGCACTTGATCATCACCATGAAATCACCATCATCATGTTATGATCTTTCATTTGCTTCATCACTTGGAGTAGTGCTACCTATCTGATAATCACTTTGATAAACTAGGTTAGCACTTAAGGTTTCATCAATTAACCAAAACAAACTAGAGCTTTCATAGGGGCGGCTGGCTGAGCCGCCTCTACAAATGATCTCCAGCCGCCCCTACAAATGCTTATTGTAGTAGTGGGTGACTCACCATACTGTGGGTATGCTCCATGTGCAGCAGCTTGCACTAGGAAGGCTTAGGGAAGGAGATCGACCGCGAGACACCACCATGCACATGAGGAAGAAAATGAAGCTTGGGGCTTCCATCTCTGACTTCGGCGAGGTTGAGGGCGTGGTTGTGGTGGGGAAGCTCATCGTTGGCTGGCTCCTCCAGCGTGGTGGACTCCTCCTCCTCCTTCCTCTCCTCCTCTTCTTATTCTTCACACAACTCTAGTAGCAAGCTTAGCTACTACAACTAATGAGCTACACAAGTCAAGCAACTAAACTACTCTACTCACTAGATAAGAGCTACTACTACAAAAGCTACAACAAGCAAACACATGTAAAGTAAATGCAAGTGTAGTAGTGAGCAAACCACCGAGGACAAGAGACACAATAACTTTTATCCTAAGGTTCGGTTGCTTGCTGGCAACTTAATCCTGTTAAGATGAGTCCTTTAGACTATCACTTCACAAGCCTCACAAGTACACTAGCTCGTCCCCCAACTTGGACACTTGTGCAGAAGCCGGCATGTCACCAAGAACCACTTCAATCCTCCTTGATTATACTAGAGTTGCTCTTCTTGTACTCCTGGGGATGAGCACAAATCCTCACAATGCCACCGATCGAGCCTCTACATAATCACCAAGTAGTGCTTCAACGATCTACCATAGCTCCAAGCCGTCTAGGTGGTGGCAACCACCAAGAGTAACAAGAACTCCATTGTGAGAACGATTCACCAAGTGCCACTAGATGCAAATTCTCAATGCAAGGCACAAGAAACTCTCCAATCTCACACAAATGCAACCTCTAGAAAAGCAAGTGAGTGGAGTGTGTTTCTCAATCCCAGGGTATGCGGAGTGATGAATATCTAACACTAGGGTTATGAAAACCCATGGATTAGCACCATGATAGCATATTTAACCCCTTGACCGGTTCTCCTAATTGGTTAGGGGCTCAAAGCTACACACAATGGGTGCACTCGTGCGCCCCGTTGAGTCTCGACCCGAGCCCGTGGGCCTCGAGCCTCCATCTCCTAGGGGCTCTAGCCAAGCGAAGTTGGCTCAGGAGTAGGGCAAGAACCCAGGACAGCCTAGGACGTCATCGCCTAAGGGACCCAAGTGACCAAATGAGACTCAGTAGGGTGGCTTGGGTAGATGCCGCAGAGCTCTCAACAAGACCCTACCACAATGGCAAGAGCCTCACACCTCGTAGAGGCATAGTGCGGTCAGCTCTATTAGGGCACTACTCCCTTCTCCTTAGCGTGGAGCTGGCCGCTTATTTCTATGATGGGTCATGCTCGAGGTAACACATAAGGGACAAGGGAGGTGCCAGAACCCCTAGGCTTCGTCTCCATTAGCGTGCAAGAAATCTTAGAGGGCGGGTGAGCCAGGGAGGGTTGATACGGCGAGCTCTCGGTCATCTAGACCTACCACTGTCATCTGCAAAAGCTGCCACGGGCAGTTTCTATGTTGTCGACCATGACCACACCTAGAGCGGCGATGCCCCCAATGGCTCAAAGATGAAGACGACGTAGCTAGAGCACTCAGATGGATATCAAGGAAGCTAGAGAAAACCCCAAACTTTGTATGCCCCTTGCCCTATGAAGATATAAGGATGGGCAAGGGAACCCTTAGCGGGGATGGACCCATCAAACACTCGATCAACAAATTGAACTCATTCCCAAAACCCTAGATCAAAGCTAGCCATATGCTCTCCTACTCTCTCTCTCTCAATTATAAGAACTCACTTGATCATTCTAACATGAAGAACTCTCTGGTAGACGTAGGGCTTCGAAGCTCGAACAAGGATAAACCTTCTTGTGTCTTGAGTGTTAACAACAAAAGTCCCAACCATTCATCACTAGCCATGGTTACAAACCCAAGACAGTTTGGTCATTGGGTAGTGTTGACGGTCACTAGCACCAATTATAAACCGTCAATATAACTTGCATATACATTTGATTTCATCACCAAACATAGGAATAGGGGTTTAAACTAATGAATTCCACGAGCTTTGGTGAATATGTGAATGCAGGAGGATTTATCTAGAAAACAGCCCCTGGGACCACTGTCATACTCTCCAAACAAGCAAACTGACATTAGAAAGAGATTCGGCTCACGAAACCTGCGGAAAACAACTCAAGACGGAGTCTAGAAGCTTCCACCCGAGGGTGGGGCCCACCTGTCAAAGAGACAGGCTGGCCGGCCCCACCTATGGGCTGGCTGGCCTATGGGTCCCACCAGTCAGCGTCTCCTTTCTACATCGATTTCCACCGCCTTTGAGAGTCCATCTCTGTCGTTGATCAAGGTCGGTTCATCCAATGATGATCGAGGGAGTTGACGTGGATCGATGATGTAGCGATTCCGTGCCCCCTACTCCACCTTGATTCCTTGCCCCCTACTCCACCTTGGCCTATATAAGGACACCCAGACCCCCCCCTAGAGTCATCCTAAAACCCTAATTCATATTCTCCTCATCAGGAGCCAGCTATCAAGAGAAGATTAGTCCTCCATAGGATCTAGTCTTATAAATAATAGTGAGATGGAGAGTGAGGGAAGAGTTTGGAGGAGGTGTCGGCCTGTCGGTGCTCTCTCTACATGTCGATGTTTCATAAACCAGAATAGTAAATTTATACGATTGCCGTGCTGCACTAGGAAAACGATGATAGCATCCAATAGACACGAGGATTTATACTGGTTTAGGCCGGAGCCCTACGTCTAGTCTCAGAGATGATCGAGTGTGTGTTCCTCGCTTGAATGCTCTGAAGTTCTTACAATGGGGGGTACAAGAATGGTGAAAGAGATGGTAGAACCTAAACTAGATGAGGGGCAACCCGAAGAGAAGCTCCAAGAGCCCTACTGCTATGGATGGAATGGTATAGGATGAAAAATGTGAAGATGTCCCCAGGCAGTTGCCCTGGCTGCCCTTATATAGAGTTTGGAGCCAGGGCTTGATACAAAGAGGAGGTTCCCTGGACCGAAGGGTCGTGAGCCTGAGGGAGGTCCTAACTAACTTGGCTTGCAAGCTACGCCGTCTTCTGGTGTCTGTCCGGGCGTGGCCATCATCATGGTCTTGTGGCCGCGTTGCGACAGGGCGAGATGTGGTGCTACTGTGCCGACCATGGCGGGCACTACGGCACATCGGTGGTTCATCAGCCATCCTGTGCACTATGGTGTTCGTCATGGTCTTCGTCGCCGCTTCTAGGTTCCCCGAGGTGTCGTACCCATAGCAGGTAGCTGCCCCGGGTCATCGTTCGTCTGGTCGTTTCTCGGGGCTGAGGGCCACAACCCCGATCGTCGGGGTCAGGGTTTTCAACCGGCCTGGTCATCCTCTGCCCTGAGACCCTTGTCATGGCTCCTGTTCTGTAGTGGGTAGGATCATATACCTGCCTAGTTGGGCTATGTCCGGTCGGTGGTCATCGTACCCGTCGTTACCGCCTCGAGGTGGTGTTGTCTTGTTCATGCAGTGTCACATAGGGTTGGCGTCTGACCGGGCTAAGGTGACTACTATTGCCTTTGTCCTTACGGGGTTAGTGCGGCATGCTTGCCCCTATCATGGTAGGCTCGCTTGGCAAGGCGTGACCTCTTTCTATCTCTTCTGGAGGTTGTGATGGAGAGAGGTCGTATGCCTTACGAGCGTGGTGAGACCAAGGCAGGTGGAAGGGGCCATGAATACCTCGACCTCAGCACCTGGCCTAACCTGTTTGGCTTTTGTTGGGCTTTAGACATTTGGGCCTTTGTCTATTATTGCGTTGTGAGCTATGCGGCCCACCATCTAAATGATGCCTTGATACCCCGGGGTTATAACCCCGATAGTAGCCCCCGAGCGTTTTTGTGATCATGAAATGATCGTGAAAGTGATGGTATGCGCGCACGTCATGCCGTGGACTCACGGTCATAGCTTATTCATGATCCATTGCTTGGCTCCTTGCTGATCGGTGTATTCAATGCGGTGAGCAGCCATCATGTTTCGCTTTGTCAGGGCATCCCGATGATGCGGTACTTGACTGTCATGTCTATGGGCTATGCATCGGGGCTTGCGTTTCAGGTGGGACCGAGTGGTCTCGTCGATGCTGTACCAGCCCTGCCTTTAGGAAGATCTCGATTTTTTCCAATCTTTCATGCCTCCTATTGCTCACCACATGGCGAGGGAGTCTTAGGCTATTCAATCCGCCCTTAGGCTTATAAGTGAGGTCCTTCCTCCGTCCGGGCTACCTCTAGCGTCGAGATTCCTTTGGCCCCTTCGAGGGGCTAAGCTCTAACGGGGGAGCGAGAAAGGTCTTTGAAGGGAACCACGTGGTTCTTGGGCATGCGTCCTGCTGGAGACCATCTGTGGTGGCCAGAGGTTATCATTGCGAGTTCCAACAGTCGATGTTAGAAGGGATTTTGCGAGTCGGAGGGCGAGGGGTCGAGCAACGACCGGTGTCACGCTCCTGGCTCCCCTTGGAGGCCTACGCACTGGTCGTCGGCCCACCCAGACTGTCAGCGGGATGGGAGGAGGATGAAGCAGCATGTTGGTATATTTTAACGCACACAGATAAATCCACAAGTGCACGGATACCGCTGTAGCTTTCACCCGGAAGTATTTTAAGTATCGTATCCACAGGGAAACATGTGAGACTAACTACGGTGTAACTTAACAAGGGGTAACGATTAGGTTAAGGGTTAATTTTAACTAGGAGTAGCAATAAGGTTAGGATAAATAGGAGCGTAGAGGGGATAACTAAGGGTCTCTAGTTCTGACTTGGGTAAGCTTATGTCTTCTACTGTTCAACTGGGGACATTACTTAAGGAAAGACACCAACAAAGGATGCTTTCCTTACCAACCACATCCTACGTGCGCCTACAGACGGGAGGTGGACTACAAAGGATCAACGATGCTATATAGTACAATGCTATATAGTATTAATGTCACGCACGCGATCTACCACCAATCCGGAATGCAAGGTGCATCCACGACTAACCTAAGTCTAAGCACCATGCTTACACTTATGATTAATACTCTACTCCCTCTAGTGCAGGAATAAAGCCCTCAAAAGAGTCGTGAACTTGAAGAACAATATAAACAAGATACTTACTTGAATCAGAAGTTGATTACCAGAGAAATCTCAGAAGCAAGCTCAATTAGAACTTGAATCCACCAAGGTACAAGCCATAGAGAGAGCACTGACAGGCCGGCATCTCTTCTGAACTCTTCCCTCACTCTCTATCTCACTATTTCTATTTATAAGACTAGATCCTATAGAGGACTAATCTTCTCTTGATAGCTGGCTCTAATCCTCATGAAGAGAATATGAATCAGGGTTTCAGGATCTGAGGAGTGAGGGGCTGCCATATATAGGCCAGAGGTAGAGTAGCGGCCAAGGAATCGAGGTGGAGTAAGGGGCAATGACTCTAGGAGGAGTAGGGGGCAAGGAATTGCCACGTCATCGATCCGCGTCATCTCTCTCGATCACCATTGGATGAAACAACCTCAAACCGTCTTAAAATCAATGGTGTAGATAGTAGGAAGGAGTACGGGGCAGCGGAGGGTGATCGGTCATCCCCATGGGCCGGGCAGCCTCCCTAGTGGGCTGGCCGGCCCACTATGGTGCCAGGTGGGCTCCTCCTTCTAGTGGCGAGGCTTGGGCTCCGTCTTGGGTCAACTTTCATAGGTGTCGCGGGTAGAATTACTTGTTGTCGTCGGTTTGCTCGTTTAGAGAGTGTATATGATGGTCTGGGAGTCGCTCGATAAATCCTCCTGCACTCATGAAATCACCAAAGCTCGTGGAATTCATTAGTTTAAACCCCTAAACCTTCATTGGTGATTACATTTATGCCCTTATACTTGTTTAATTGACGGTTTATAATGGTTGTTAACTCACCGTCAACACACGGTGCTTAGCCTCCCGTCACTCCACCCCTGTTAGATGGGGTAGGATGGCAACATGGCGTCATCGGCTGCCGCGGCCGCCCCTTCCTCTGAAGCCAAAGGAGTTACGGTGGCACTCTGCGTGTTGCTCCTCAAAGGCACGATGTCAGTCCTCGGCAAAGGCTTGGCCCCTGGGTTGTCAATTGGCATCACCATCGTTGGCCAACCACCTCGTTTAATAGATTAACCAAGGCGGGCATCTTACAAATGCTCACCTCGGTTAGTGGATTTAAAAAAAAAAAAGCAGAGCCCACCGGGCGAGCCCATTTCTCGAGCCCACCGGTGAGCCCACCTAGCCCAGAGCCATATCCACGCCCACGCCAACACCGGCCGCCCTCCATGCTCCCGTCGTGGCATCGCCTAGATCTGCTCCTTCTCGAGAGTCCCGCCACCGGATCTGCCTCTGCTCCACTAGATCTACATCTGCTCCACCGGATCTGCAAAAGGAGAGTGAGGGAGATGAAGAGAGGGAAGAGAGAGGGGCAGGGATTTGTGTACCAGCTGCACCACCGGATCGAGCCCGCTGCCCGCGCCCCTGCTCCTTGCGCGTGCATCTGAGGGCGTCTCAACCGGCTGCACAGGCTATGCTGATGGCTATGGCAACTGGCTAGCCTTCTCAACCGAGGACGGCTGCTTCCTGAGGGATCCGTTCTCCAATGGCACCGTGACACTTCCTCAGCTGTTCCGCCTCAGAAGTCAGAACCCCATGTCACCGCGGTGAGAGGCTCGTCTCATGGATTGAAATCGAGGAGCCCCCAGAGAAGCTTACTATGTACAAACCGGTATTTTGCTCCCGTCAACTCATCGCCACATTCATCACGTTTCAGTACAGCACTAAGGTTGCAGTGTGCCAGCCAGGGGCGGGCTCCTGGTGGTCGGTACATGTGGATCACCGGTTTGAGCTGTCTGATGATATGGCATTCCACCAAGGAAAGCTCTACATCCTCAATAACGACGACCATAGCCTTTTCGCAATGGACATCAGTGTAGACCATAGAACGGGAGCTCCATGGATTTGTCAAGTTCGGCGGGTTATCAGCAGCGTCCTGATTTCTCGTCCTGCAATTAGGGGCATATGCCAAAATGAACATCAGAAGATGCTCTACCTGGTTGAATTCGAATCACATGGCACGTTGCTGATGGTACACAGTTAAGACATACGGCCAGGGGAGGATAGGACCCAGATGGTTAGTGGCGGGCACATTTATCTCATCCGGGTGGGAGTTTGAGGTGTTCATGGCGGACTTCCAGCAGTCAAAGTGGACCAAGGTGACGACCATTGGTGATGACCAGGTGCTTTTCCTGCGGAGGCGGTGCTCCAGGTTCATTCGCGTCTCTCCGGAGGAGATGCCGGGGGACCGCATTATCTTCCTGGACAAAGATGATGAGGCTCATGACTATTACGAATATGGGGTGGGCTCTTCCTCTGATTCTTGCATGGTCTATGACATGAGAGATGGCACTGTCTCGCCCTTTGTACCAAGCGTGCAATGGGAGCGTCGCTCTGTACCTGCAACGTGGCTCTTCCCTCAGGTCTGAAGTGAAGCTGTCACTGAGATTGCCGGCTGTTAAATGCTTTGATCAGTGCGTATCACAATCTCAGTATGTCTGGTGTTTATATTTTCATGCTCAATATGTCAGCCTGTTGCTTGAGGGTAGTGATTTCAACTTACTATGAGGGCATCAGTTTGATCTGAAACGTGTTGGATGTTAAGTAGGCATATCTCTATTATGTTATTTTGGGTTGGAAGTGTAATGGTCTATGTGGAACTGTGGCAAGCTTGTATTATAATGCAATCATCTTATGGCTTGGATGCTAGCTTTTCTTGTCCATGTAATTAGTGGCATGTTCCTGAAGCAAATGGAATGTATGCGCTTTCTGGGAACTACCATCGATTTTGTGATCCGTAATGCATGCCATTAAGCTTCAGGTCAACACGCCATTTGGTAAGTGTGTTTTCCCTAGAATAATCACGCACGCTGTTCAGTCCTCAACTCAACCAAACTCCTATGCTAAAAAAAAAAATCTCAACCAAACTCCTGATGGTCTTACAGAGTAATAATCTGATAATATATCAGTGGGGACTGAAGAGGTGAAAAAAGAATGGGAGTTTGCCATGAATCTGAATGAACTGAAATTCTTTTGCTCGAAAAGAGGTAATCCACATTTTATTGTTGTACAAAAAAAAACAAAATACATGCTTTGTTTTGCAAGAAAACAAAATACATGCTTTTGTGAAGCTGAAATGTTGCAAAATAAAAATTGAAAGGATATGCCAAAAAAAAATATTGCAATACTATGATAGGCAAACAAAAAAAAAACTAAATGTATGCTTTTGCGAAGATGAAATATTGCAATTCTAGATGGGGCAACTATGATGGGGCAACTAAAAGTTGAAATGATATGTTGAAAAAACAGGAATTTTTTTTGGAAGTATATGTTGAAAATTGAAAAACAAAATTGGAAGGATATGTTGAAAATTGAAAACAAAAAAAAAGCTATGTGATATGTTGAAAAATTGAAAAAAAAAGACTATGTCTAAAACCATTTTATTTCAAAGCATCATTGTGTTTTGCATTCTATCCAGTAGTAGGTGAGTGGACTGTCTCCGTTTTGGGCTTTTGGCAGGCAGCGATCCAACACACCTCGCCACCGGCGGCGGCGACGCATCCGACACGGCCCCCCGCAATGGCGAAGAAGAGGAAGAAGGAAAGAGCGGCCAAGGAACCCCGCGAGAACCACCACCTCCATCCACATCCCCAGCCCTCCATTTCCACCCGCGAACACAAACGCCGAGACCCTGCCCCCACCACCGGCTCCGGCTCCGAATCGGACCCCTCGCCGCCGTCCACTCCGGACGCCGTTCGCCGCCTGGTCGATCCCTACTCGAAGCCCCGCCTTCTCGCCATCCTCGCGGAGGCGGCCACGGCCGACCCCGCGCTGCGCGCCCGCCTCGGCGCCGCCGCCGCCGCGTCGCCCTCGCACCGCCGGCTCTTCGTCCACGGCCTCCCGCCGCACGCCGACGGCGCCGCGCTCGCGGAGGCGTTCTCCCGCTTCGGTCCCCTCGCCGACTGCCACGCCGTCGCGGACCACCGCGCCTCGGGGTCGTCGGGCCGCTGCTGCAAAGGGTACGGCTTCGTGTCCTTCGCCTCCCGCGCCGCCGCCCGCCGCGCGCTTCGGGAAGCTCCGCGCGTCACCGTCGCCGGCCGCCCCGTCTCCGTCCAGTTCGCGTCGGCCGGCCCCGACCCGTCTGGCGGGGGCGGGGGCGCCGGGCGGCGGGTGTACGTGACCAACGTCGCGCCGGACGCCAGCGCGGAGCGGCTGCGCGCGTTCTTCGCGCGGTTCGGGGAGCTCGAGGGCGGGCCGTTCGGCTTCGACGCCGACACCGGGGCGTCCCACGGGTACGCACTGTTCGTGTACCAGGCGGCGGCCGGCGCCGCGAAGGCGGTCGAGGAGCCGTACCGCGTGTTCGAGGGGCGCACGCTGCATTGCCAGCTCGCCAACAAACCCGCGCCGAAGACCAAGGCACCCGTGGCGCCTCCGCCGGCGGTGGTGGCAGCTTCGGCTGCCGGAACGCCACCACCGCGGGCGGTACGGCCACCCGCGCGGCAGCTGGTGCTTGATGCCGCCGCGGCCGCCGGCGTGGTAGACCTTGCAGCTTACGCTCGTGACCCATCACAGGCTGCAGCGTTGCTTGGCCAGAATCCTGCTCTTGCGGCTGCAGCATTGAGCACTGCATTGGCGTCCGGGGATGCCGCTGCCATTCCTGTCACTCCGGCAGCTGTGTCTGTGCCAATGGAAGTAGCAGTGGCCTGGCCCTCGCCAAAACCGGCGGCTGCCGTAACAGTGGCACCATCACCAGTGATGGCTGGTGTTCGACCCTGTGGAGGCCCAGGACTGCTTGGGCCATACAAACTGCCATCCTTGCCAGTGGTGTCATCCTCATCAGGGAGGAAAGGGACACTGATGAGCACCTGATGGAGTCATGGTAATTTGTAATTGTAACCTTCCCTTGCTGCCAAAAATGGCCTTTTGGTTATTTTACTTACGCTGATTGCAATTGGTTTAGTGTCCTTTTCATTGATTGAGGATCGATTTATGCATATCTTGATATTGGTTTGTAGAGAGGGACCTATGGACACTGCAAATCTTAGTTGTGCTCAAGCTCAAGAGGCCTTCAGGAAGGAAGTATGTCGATGGCTTCTGTTTTTGTAATCCTGAGACTAGGTGTTGTCGACAGAATATCGTCGGTAGTCCTTCGAGGAGTATCCCACGAAGGTAGATTGATCGGCAGAGGAGCGTGAGATCAAGAACAACAAGGCAACAGAAACACACGAGTTAGACAGGTTCAGGCCATCAGTATGACGTAATATCCTACTCCTGTGGTCTGTTGGTTTGTATTAGCTATGATATGATATTGCGTGAGTTTGGAGGGGTCCCTGCACGCCTTATATAGTCCGGGGAGCAGAGTTATAAGTCGATTAGATCTGAGAGATAACCGGAAAGTAATAGCGATTGTGATTTTGGATCATACATATCCTAAAAGATCTCGTAATATCTTGTGGATATCTTCGGGATGTCTTTGGATCAGTAGTCCACTACTACATAAACTTTATGGAGGCGTGCGATTTGGGTTTCCATGGCAAAGCCGGATGTCTTCTAGAGGCCACGTAAATCGAGGGCTTAACTACTACATAATGCTTTCTTCTGGGTTAATTCGATGGGATAAATATACATTTCCATGTAACCGCAAGGGTAAATATACTTTTACCACGCGGGCACGTTAACCTAGCCGGGCCACTATCAAGAAATCGTAATTAATTGGCACTTTTGTTTGTGCCTTGGTTATGTTGATTAACCGTATGGTTTATTATTTGCCCGCCCGGTAGGTTATAAATTAACGTGTCCATATATTGCGTAAAATAAATATATGTATATTCAAATAAAACAGCAGATATATAAATTCAAAAAAAATTCAAATCACATCCAGATTTCACATGATTAAACTTAAAAATATATGCGGACATTACACATGAGATAATATACATATATATATATACATTCACTTAGTCGTTCTTGTCATCGTTAATTCATTACATTTACATATTAAAAAGTCGTTATACATGCTTAAGGTGTAATCCTGCTGACGCATCGTAAGGCCATTTCCTCGACCTCTCAGTACTTATAGAATATCGCTAGCTGGTCGTTTCTCATGGAAGAACGTGCCCCCTTCAAGCACGCATTTGTTCAACACAAACTTACATATGTCCACCTTTGTCTCGCTTGTGTTGGTTGATGCTGAATGTCTCTCAACTAGTTCAATCCATTCTTGAGCACCCTCCAAAATTCAAATAAAATCGCTGCACACCCTTAGAAACTCACAGCATAGAAGCCACGGGTTTGTGATAAGGTTGTTTGGCTTTGCATGATCGTCACGCAAAAGCATTACAACACAGGCATTAGAACACATATGAACGGAAAGCACAATTAAACCTTTCAAATACTTACAGGAAAGTTAAATACGATTTTGATGCGGTTCTTATGCTTAGCCTTAAAATTCTCTCGTTCTTCGATCATAGCATTCGAGGATCCTTCACGTACTTCTTATAAACGCTATATACTGAAATGTACTAGTATTAGATAGGGCATTAGAACGCATATGAGAAGACAGTTCGATCACTTACACTTTGAGGCAATCTTCAAAGGCCTTGTACCCTTTTAAGTTTGGCGGTGTCAACAAATCAAATACGCAGGCTCCGCCATCCCGAGGGTAGATGATAAATGCAACCCAAAGGTGACCCTCGAGGCCTTGTTCGCGCCATTGAAACAAAATACAAAAGTTACTGACGAGAAATAATAATTCTAGCTAGCTACCCACTTATCTCTACTAGGCATGTCTTCGACTTACCCAAAGTGGTAGGCGCTAGGATACACCCATGTCCCCCGATCTTCTTCATTGCTCCTAGTATGTACCTTAAAATGTTCAACTTCTCATTGTCCATCGGTTTCTTCTTTCGCCTCTCTCGTCGCTTGGTCAAGTCTTTCATGGTTGGATGATTGTCATCTAGGTGGTAACCAATGATGATTCTTTGAGCAATATGCATTGGAGATGGATAGATAACATAAAGTTTTAGTTCCTTGGATATATAGGCCATCAACTTTTGCAAGGACAAGCCATCGTGGCATATATAAGTAGTTTTGACCGATTCAAAAGGCGGTGATATGTGAAACTCGCAATTCATCACTTACATAGAGAACAAGGTGACTTGGGCGATGTCAAGGTCTTGTTCCCTTGAGAGAGTCTGTACATGTCGTGGAAGTCCACGGGAGTTCTACATCGTTGCAGGGCAAGTGGAAGTACTCCGCCACAACCTTGACTAGAAAACCACCATGCCAGCGCCTTTTGCCGCTTCCATGTACCGTAGATGAAACCTCCTTGTCTCCCACCTTTCCTCGTCGACGAGTTGGGCCTTGGTTATCATGAACTTCCCATGCTCGTAATGGCGCAAGGGACCATCCGATTCAGAAATAGATGGAAAGGTGATCTCACACTGGGATAGAAATGTTAGTACCATATTATGGCAAAGAAAAGTTATTAGGGAAGTAGCAGTGGCCTGGCCTCGCCAAAACCGGCGGCTGCCGTAATAGCCATCACCCGTCATGGCTGGAGTCGACCCCTGTGGGAGGCCCAGACCGTTTGGGCCATACAAACTGGCAATAGGTGGTAAAGAAAGGGACCTGATGACACCTGTGACGTAAGCCAGGTCCCGCCGCCAAAAATGGCCTGCTATTTTTTTTAGCCTTACGCTGATTGAATTGGTTTACGTCCTTTTCACGCGATCGGAGAATGCATATCTTGATATAATCCCAGAGAGGGACCTATGACACGTGTTATCTTAGTTGTGCTCAAGCTCAAGAGGTCTTCATAGTGTGGCCAAGTCGATGGCTTCTGTTTTGTAATCCTGAGACTAGGGTGTCGCCGACATAATATCGCCAGCATTCTCCTAAATAGTATCCTATGGGGCGTAGATCGCAGAGAGCTGCAGATCAAGAAGCGAAACACGATAGATTGGCGCAGACATCGTGATGACGAATAACCTACTCGTGGAGAAAAAATCGTAGTAATGGTTGTATGATATGATATATGTGAGTTTATTGATCGCCTCAATAAATGGCGGAGAAGTATTACGATTATTCAGATTGAAAGTGATAACTGACATAGGAATCGGCGATAAATGATCTGACAGATCTCAGACTCTACAGTTATCGTGAAAGCCTTGTTACGGCGCCGCAGAGTCGCCGCAAGGCTTCGTTTTGTGTCGAGGAGAATCTCGGAGGGCGAATTTCATGTGGGAGCCGTGGGTTTCCCAAAAACCCTAGAATGCCTGTGAAAGGGTGGGGAAAGTACCTTATAGTAACGCCATCTTGAGCTTGTCGCACACCAAGATCCCGCATCCTACCGTTCCCTACCTTTCCACTTTGCCATTCCGTCTTCATCCTTAGCCCTCACATTTCTAGATTCACATCCACGGGCTTGCCATAAGGGTGGCCTTTAGTCCCCATCCGCGAAGGGACCCAGACCGAGAGATGGCGCCGAAAAGGAAAGTCTTCAAATTTTCCAAAGAGGAGCAGTGGAACCAAGCATTCATCATGGCAAGGTGCAGCCTAAAGAAGGTGCGGGCCAGTCGTGATGAAGAGTGGGTGACCCACATGGTGCGGACAAATTAATGCGCAGGAAGCCGAGATATCTCAAAAACTTCGAGAGATTAGTGGAGGCGGCGTGCTTCACGATAAATGGCGTCAAGTCGATTTATTAATCGGATGGCGACCTAACCAATGGTGAGCCCTTCCCGATGCCTAACACTGATAAAGCTTGTAGTCTTTGAGGATTATTTCGGCGTGGGTTGGGGTTCCCTATTCATCCTTTCATGCAGGATCTCGCTGGAGTTCGGACGATTAGTTCCGTGCAATCTCCACCCCAACACCATATTACACATCTTGATCTTTATTCATTTACGTGAGATGTTTACGGGGTTTCATCACACTTCAACCTCTTCGAGACACCTATTCGGAGTTGAAGAAGAAGGCGGTGAGTGGTTCCAAGGTGGTCGGCATCATATGTCGTAGCTCCGGGATGGGATGGCCAACAGTGTTACATTAATGTACCAATGAACACTTCTCTCGAAAGGGTGGAACTCCAAGTGGTTCTACATGAAATGTGAGTCGCTCGCCTACAATCAATCTCACGCCCACCATATCTCGAGAACCAAAAAAGCTCGGTCTGGAGAAACCAAAGGTCTTGACATGGAACAAGTAAGGAGCTCCTCGACTGATTAAAGGAGTGGAGATTAGTGGCCGAACTAGTGGCGAAGCTTCATAGTGCTACCGCATCCAGCATCCGACCACCTGGAGATGAACTAGAGAGGGCCTACCCGGGTTTTGACTACATGAGGTGATGACAGAACGGACCCGGGAGAGGACGGAGCGGTGACGAAAAAATTGTCCTAGAGCGGGTCAGAGCTATTCGCTCCCAATGCCTCGCTCGGTGGCCAAGGCAAACGAGGGCCTTCAATTGTACAAATCCGCCTCCTCCGAGGTAAGCATCTCGATTGTGTTTTTCCCAATACTTTTTAACTAAAGCATTGGAAAGCGTTGGGCGATTCACTTATGCAAAGATCCATTCGCAGGAAAAAGCGGTGTACTTCTTCTCTGGCGTCGAGGGGTGATTGGTCGAGGGGTGTAGATGCTCACCACCATCGCTCAGTGTTGAGGAAGATGCGCAGCGCTTCGTCAGAATCCGGAGGCACCGACGCTGGTCGGACGGAGAGTTCGCCCCCCAGTATCTCGAGAAAGTCTTGGGGGAAGAGGGCAGCGGAGCCGACAGCCGCCCGGAAGAAGAGAAAGACGACGGCCGCCGGTC